GGCAGTAATGATACTAAATGTTCTAGTTCTGCTAATAGATCATGTAGGAGGTGATAGAGATCCATATACATTTAATATAAACTCTAGTTGCCTTTAAAAAATACCTAGATAATTAGATTGCAAAGTTGCTATGTTAAAGGAGTATTCCTACTAAAGTGAGGCACTCAGCTGCTGTGAATGGAAGTCAACTGTTTAATCTTCATGCTGCCCTCTTGTAGGAAAGCTGCTGCCATCCAAATGTTTCTCATTTTCTAAATGCTCAGCTTGAGAGGTGCATTGAATGCTGCCAATTATAGGTGACACTACTGCTCTGAGGCATATGAAGTGCCACAAAAAAAGCACCATAAAGAAAATCAGGCCACCCATGTTACCTCTCCAGCAGGCTTTCTGCATGAGAGGTTCTGGCTGACCTGGATGCTGCAGCTATAAATGAAGGCAGCTCTCCCTCTGCTCCCACAGAAGTGAGAAAAACTTGTGCTCTGACCACAGTCCAGGTGCCTTTCCTCCCTTCCTGTCTGTGTCTGTTCCTGGCCATGCTGGTGGCCCTGAGAGCTCTGCAAAACAGCCCCCTGTACCCAGTGAGGGCTCAGAGACAGTGCAAGGGGCTGGCTTTTGCTTTCCTCATGGAACTGTGGGGAGAGAAACAATTAAATGCTTGTGGAGCATTCCCAGGTGACAGGGATGAGGTGTCCAGGAGAATAATATGTGTGTGTTCTTAAAATCAATAAGGATAGAGAAGTGACACTGAGCAAGCAGGGTGCTGAATGAATGCTCTTGGTTTTGTCGTTCCTTCAGTGGTGGAAGAGGACATGGGAGTCTCCTGTGAGCAACAGCAATGCCATGGGATTTAATAAAATAACCTTTATGCAATTAAGAAGTTTATAAATTGAAGATTTCCAGCCATATAAATGTGTATTTGTTCAATGCTGCTCTCCTCATACCTTCCCAGCCATCCAGTTTGAAGGGGTGGTTGTGCAGCTGAGTTCCTTGTTCCTTGTGCCTTCCTGCTGATGTGCTCCTGGGCTGATGCTGTGGATGCTGCCTGGCAGACACTGGACACTGCTGCAGGAAAACTCTTGGGCTGCCTTTGAAGAAGGCAAACTCACCAATCCTTAACCAGTAAGTGAGAACATCTGGGGATAATATTTTTTATTACTTCTTAGAAGTTCAGTTTAGAGAAAAAAGTGCATTGTCTTTTACCCTCTTTCTCTCACAAGAGTTGGCAGGGCTTAGTTTGAGTTACATAAATGTTTGCAATGATGTCCTTAGTCTAGAGTTCAATGAAAAGATTTGGAGATGAGTCAGTGATTTTTAACATGGCAGCTTAAAGTCAAGTTGAAAATACAAGGGTAGTGAGTTCCTTACTTTTCTTGCTCCTTCAAACATAGGGATATTTCCCTGCTGCCAAAGGGTGGATCTGTTCTGCTCTCCAACAATAAAAAGCAGATGATTTTCCTTCTTAAAATACCCAAAGGGGATTGCTAACACAGATCCTCTTCTCTGTGTGCCCATCCTCATGTGCAGAGCCAAATCCCATCCCTTCTAGCAGCAAGGAAAAGCAAATCCCTGGCATTGAGGGCACCCAGATTAACCCACTGCAGGATTAGGATGCTTGAGCTGTTGTTAGAAGATTAGTATATTTGGTTGTCAACACTTGCTGAACTTGGCCTGAAAATGATTTCCAAAGAGGTCACTGACTCATGGGTGCCAGTTTGCCCAAGCACATTGGGAAAGCCCTAGAGTTAGAGCAAGTGGCTGCAAGGATTAAACTGGAGTACTGAGTGTGCAGAATAACTGTAGGATTTAAACCTGTCATTGCTGGTGGTGGGGACAGAAGGCTCTGGCAGGCTGATCATAATATCTGAGCTCCTGCCTTGCTGGGGAGGTGTTTCTGGGGCTTTGCTTTCTGGAGTTTCCTGCTGATGGCAGTGTGTGCCGTTAGGTGGGTGAGCTGCCCGCAGATGAACTTTTCTCAGCTCCTGCACAGTGCAAAATGAGTTTATTTTGAGGACAGGGCCTCCACAGGGGCATCTCGAGGTAGAAAGCAATTGGCTTCCACTTTCTGTTCTGGGACTCAAACTGTCTGTGCTCATAATGTTTCATTTCAGCTACTAGCAGGAGGATTCATGTTGAGGGTTTTAAAAAAAATATAGGATCTTCCTCTTGTCAGCAGGGCACTAATACCAGCACAAAGTCTGCTCATGCCAGCTCATCACCTTGTAAATGCTTACATGGCTTACAGAGCGTGGGGGAGTGACAGTGGAGCTCTGGTCCCAGTGCGAGCAGTCCTGCTCAGCTGGGTGTGCTGGTGGCTGAGCTGCTGCTGGAGCACCTCTTGGGGCTGCAGGGAGTGGGCATGGGAGGGGTGGGCATGGTAGATCTCTCCTTCTTGAAAAGCAGCTTCTTTTCGTATTTATTTTCTTCTTCTCTTAAAACAAATGAGGGCTGTAAAGAGTCTAAAGGCAGACCCTTTAAAGATTTTTTGGTTATACAGGAAGAGCCTGGATTTTCCTCTGTTTATCAGTGGAAAACTGCCCTGATGGTAAAATAACTATTAGTTGGAAACTGTTTTACTCTATCATGAGCCAGATGAATACAAACTTATATTTGATTCAAAGCAACTTATCTTGAAATGTACCAACCACTGCCTGTGTCATGGAATTGGTTCCAGTGATTTCATTCAGCAGCATTATCTGGATTTCAAGACACATCCTCTTGTAAATATGGATTTTATCATGCTTCTTTTTGTGCATCCAAACATTAGCAGCCATTTCTTGTCTGAAATTGATATAACGGCATTTGCCACTCCTGTGACAATATAATTTTATTTCCTCAACAGGCCAGCAAAGATATTCAAACCCATGTGGAAGAAATAAGCCTGAAAGTTCTCTCAGAGAAGATACACTATAGAAAGGTAGGGTCTTTCCATAAAAACTTCCTTTGAGTTTAACTTTGGTATCTTAAAGCTATAGCTGTCCTGAGCATTCCCACTTTTGGGAATGCTGTGCAGCCTAGTGAAGCAAGAGACATTCAATTTTAATAACTTTCTAAGCACTAAGTACATTGCTCTGTATTTTACAGATGTACCTGAGGGGATTTTTGTAGAGCTGCATGATAAAATAATTTTGAATATTTTATCCAAGGCCTGTGTTGTGATTTATTCTGAAAAAAAACCCCAAAACCTTCTGAAACCCAGAATGTGGGCTTTAAGTCTGTGCCTGGATTACAGAGTGTGGCCAGAGGACAAGGCCACCACTGTGGTGGCATTGCTTCCACTGGTCTCACTGCAACAAGAGATGCATTCTGGAATAACCAGCAAGAACATGGGGCAGCAAGGTGTGTGGGGGGGGCACGTGGGTGAATTTTGGTTCTTGCACTTGTCCAGTGTTTCCTGCATGGAGAACTTTCCCTAGATTTAGGTCAGCATGGACCTGGCTGACCAGCTGTGCCTAACAGGCACATGTTTGATAAAATGGCCTGTGTTCAGTGAGGAATTTTAGGCCACCCATTTTTTGGATGAAAATGTAATGTCTGACATTGTGCTGAGGTCATTCGGACTATCTGATGATAAAGACATATATATGCCTATACACACTAGATATGCATAGAGGGCCATAAATAAGACATGCTCCAGTGTAGAAAAAGATTTTAATCTGCTGGAGGGAAAGGCCACACAGTGTTTGTAATGGTTCTGCTTGTACTTCAGCCCATGCTCGCTGCAACAAGTGCTTACAACCTTGTGACTTGAAGGCAGTTTCTAGGACATGGGCAGAGTCAGTGTGTACATATCTGAGGGGTTCACAAAGTGAAAAAAGGAGAGAAAAATGCCAATGCCACCATGCTGTGAGCTCAGGCTTCTGTCTTCTTCAAGGAACATGCTACGCACAAGCAGCTCTTGTTTTTGATCCATGTATAGGGCACAACACATTGTCTGGCTAATAAGAAATAATCATACTTAAACCACCGGTTTCCACATCAGAATACCTCCAAAGGGTGGACCTCAGAATGCCTCCAAAGGGTGGACCTCCCACCTACACAGACAAACAGACAGCAACAGTGCTGGCTGGCTGCCCTGCACTTCCCACAGCTGGCAAATCCATGTTCACATGGGCTTTCCACCCCATCTCAATGGCCAAGGAAGCTCCAGCTGGGTTAATTCCCAGTCCCATGACGTTGTTTCCAAAGGGTGAAGATAGTTGCTAGTTAATTCACTGCCTTTATATTTCACATGGGGCAGTTGCCAGCCAGACTGTCTGCTTGGTAAGCACTGTGGCTGCACAAGGTAAATAACATTTTGATGCTGAAGAATATTTTAAATTGGCTATAAAAGTTTAAATTTGAGAGGAAACAAGCAGAAATATAAAATGAAAGGAGTGGATGTGGTGAGATTGTGGTTCTGTAGCAGACAGAGGTGCAGGTGGAGACTGATCAGCTTGCATGGGTTGCACTGCTTCTGTGGGGTGGGCTTGCACTGCAGGGCAGGAGCCTTTTGTATATCAAAGAATGAAAATTTACTCGTGACCCAATCTCCATCTGGGGATGTAGGAAGATCTGAAGATGCTCATAGATCCAGACTATGGATCTGTGTTGTTTTTGTTCAGACTGGATCTTGGAGTTCTTTTCCAACCTAAACTTTTCTGTGGTTCTGTGTATTATATCTGTGTGTTCATCTCTGGAAATGTTTAAGGCCACTGGATGGGGCTTTGAGTAACCCGGTCAAGTGGGGAGTGTCCCTGCCCATGGCAGGGGGGTTGTTGGAGCCCCATGATCTCTCAGCTCCCTTCCAATTCAAACAATTTTTATCTCCATCTTGCCCAAACCCCAAATCCAGTCTGTTTCTCCAGCACCCCCTGCCAGCATTTCCTGCTCCGGAGCACTAAGATTTTGAGGTGCAGTATTTCACATTAAGTGCTCGGTTTCCCTCCCCCTGGCAGGGACGAGGAAGGACAAAGCAGGCAGGAGCCCAGAGCATGCACTCATTAGCTACTGTCTGCCAACAAGTTGGGAAAGTGCAATGTTATATGAAATGTCTGGCTGTTATAAAAGGCTTTGGTTAAGTAATCACATTTCTCTTGCATAAGTGCTTGTTTTTGGGAGGCTTTAGCCAATTGGAGGCTGCAGCAGCACACAGACAGAGAGTATGTTTAACTTCTGTGAGTTTTTATTTTTCTTTTAATAATAATAAGTGATTATTAATCTGCTGACAGTTGTATGAAATCTCTTTAGATAGGGTTCGGAGGCGGAGACTCCCCAGCGCCGCTTGTAGCTGAACCACAGCTGTAAAACGCTGCCATAAAGCCTGTGTGGATTCCTGTGAGTAATATTTCTGATTCTTTTAATGGGTGTTTGTGACTGGAGACTGCAGGCAGGAAGTGTTGCAGACATTTATTGCAAGCAGTAAGTTAGAGGGAGGCAGGAGGTGAGAGGCACTAGTGAAACTATTGACCTGTTTAATAAGGCTTTCCTCCTGGACTTCTGTAAGCAAACACGGGTTTCTCTGAAGCTGTGCAATCAAGGTTCTTCAAAATATGCTAATGGAAAAGAAATGTGATGCTGAAGTCAACTGCAGGACAGTGGGAAGTCAGAGTTTTAGCCGGGCAAGGAGGTCACAGGATGAGCTAACCCTGTGTACTGGAGCAGGAAAATGTCCTGTTCGTATATTCTTTCCTTGATCATGGACAAGTGTACAGGGATATTTTTCTTCTACGTTTTCATGGCTTTCAGAAATCTGCATGTCAGTTATTTCCTGAGCCAGAAATGATATCTCTAATAGTACAATATAATAGTATAACACAATAATACAACGGTGGATTTTTCTTTTCAAAATTTGCTAATCCAGTGTATCTGTTAAAGACAACATGTTGAACATGTTGTTTACAATTTGATTGACATAAATCTACTTGGGATTTCATATCTTGCATTCTTCCACATAGGATTTTAATTTTCATATTTTAAAAGGGTGTTTTTCTGTTAAGATAGAACTGAAAAGGGAAAAAACTTGTATAGATTCACAGAAAACAGAACCTCGCTTCCCACTTCCTTGTGACGTGTCTGGATACAGCCCGTTCTGTGAACAAAGCCTGGAACTATAAAACAATTCACTGAAGTGGGAACTGGAATTTATTGTTCAAGACTGAGTAATGTGAAACAACTCAGTTGTTACTCCTGCCAACCCTGGAAAGCATTGAAGTGCCACTGTACAGAGAAAGCAGCTCAAGTGCTGAGCTGTGAGGAGAAATAAAGCTGTTGCCTATAGTTGGGTGTGTATGTGCTTACTCTTAGAGGTGCCACTAAACTTTTCCAGCATAAAATAAATGCTGGACTAATGGAAATCTCTTGGGAAAGCTCAAGTCACTACTTACTAACTTTGAAAAATTGTAGAATGTGGATTTTATAGTCTATAAAGTGCTTGAGACGTCCTAAAGCAGTTAAAGCTTATTTGCAGCCAGTAGATGAGGAGGTAATAGCACCATGAAAGGAAGTTAATTTGTCAGAGTTAGAGGATTAGAGAGGTAAATGTGAGAAGTTATGTTGAACTAAAAGGCACTTGGCTGCTAAGTGAAGACTTCAACATTTTCATATTTGCTTCCTAGAGTGGGCAAAATTGATGAGCCTGTTTGCTTCAGTAAAACAGTGATGCCAGATAAGTTAATTTTGTGGGCTAATTATTTAGGCCTTTGTGAAAACCTTAGGCAAACCCAAGTTATGGCTCTTGCAACGGAGAGTGGCAGAGCATGTGGCTCTCCCAAAGCTTCCCATTTCCATTCTGCAACCTCACAAGATCTCGTCAAAGTGAGATGCTCCTAGCCCATGCAAAGGCCTTTTTAGTTCTAATGAAAACTCCACAAATAAAAGCTGGCAGTTAAAATTTGTGAATTTACAACGTTATTTCTAAAACAGTCTCTGGGATGTGGAACAAATCCAGGCTTCCTTTAGGATAAGCCAACAATATCTCTAATGTGTTTCAGAGTAAGATGGATGCTCTACACAAGTTGAAGATTTTGGTGATGTTTCTGTCTCTGGCTACTTTCACGGTCATGGTGATAATGAATGCTGGAAATGCCACTGGGACTTTCAAAGGTAATGCAAGCAAATTTTCTTCATTCAGAGGTGGGTTTCATGCTTTATATCATGCAGTGATACAAGGTGGCTTAGATGGGATAGATGTGTTTGCTGCCTCATCAACTCTCCAAATACACTTTGTTCTGTGAAAGCCGGAAGTAGCTGGTGCACCCTCCAGGTTTACAGCCAAACCAGTCCCTTGGAATCCAAATAATGTCCCTGCTGAACCTGGATCTGATGCTGGTTTAAAGGCAGTCTTTGCACACCCTTGTATCCCTGGTGGAAGATGTTCAGGATGCTGCTGTGGGTTTGTAGATGACAGTGGTGCTGCATTTGAGCACTACCTGGCTGAATCTGCCAGGAAATGCCATCATGCCATCCTCTGGATTACACAGACAGCTGCTTTTTCTGGCTCTGTCTAAGAGGGCAGGGGCACGGTGCTCACAGTAAGGGACAGTGATCCCATAATGGATGTCTAAACCAACTGCAGCACGTGGCTGGTTTGCACCAAGGGCATGCTCTCATCATCCTTGAACCCACTGAGGCAGGGAGGAATATTGAAGGTTAAGGAAAATCAGCAGTCTTTTCCCATCCTCTGGATGCAATAACACTTTTGCCTGCAATAACATTCCACAGGTGTGTTCAGGACAACCCCTGGAAACATCTCTGCCAAGTACAGCACTGATTTCACACCAGCTGGCTGGACTTTCCTCATCTGGAACGTCATCTACGCCTGGCAGCTCGCCTGGCTCCTCTATGCCCTGTCGGGGATCTGTCGAAGGTATTTTCCCTATTTACTCTTTATGGCATAAATGAGCAGCGACAGTGACTCTTCCCTTTTGGAGCAGCTCAGTCTCTTCCCTTCCTTTCAGGGGTTTCTAGCAAGAGCAAACCCACTGCCATCTGTCTTGACTTGGCATGTTGAAGCTCTGTGGCTGGAGCATCCCTTATGTCCAGCATCCAAGGCTGGGAAGCAGTTTGCAGGTGTACATGAACTCCTCTAAAGAGTGGACAGGCATCAAAGTGTGTAAACTCCTCTATGAGGATTCATTCCCAGTGATTCAGGGAATCTGAGAGATTTACCCAGTACCTGCACTTACCCACTGCTAGGGGCTGAGAATCCACAGGGGCAAAATTAATGGATTACAGAGCTAATGCTTTGAGTTTACTTTCTGTTAGAGATCAAACAACCAGCACTGGGGAGTCTCTTGGTTTGTTGAACTGGACTGGAAACTTTTCCTGGGGTAATGAGATCAATAACTGCCTGACAGGGAAAGCCACAGGTATTTCTGCATTGTATCAAAGAAGGACACAGAGGAGAAATAGTCTGATTTAAGCCAAAATGTTTAATTCCAATATAAAGTCCCTCCTAATATAAGGAAAATGAGGCCAGAAAGGTTTGTTTGGTCAATGCAGGCATTGTTTTCCTCTCTTCATACCCACTTTTCCCTGGCAGGAATGAACTTGGATATGTCTTCATAAAGCCAGACTTGCTGCCAACACCTTTTTATGTGGCATGGTGTCTGAATAATTGCCTCAATGTTGGATGGCTCTTTCTGTGGGACCGAGAGTAAGTTGTCTTTTGTTACAAATACTTTTTAACACTCTTGATGGGATCACCCCAGTACTGGTTTTTTCCTCTATGTTTTTTAACTTTGTGTGTGAACACTTAATCATGCCTGCAAAACTCCATGCCAGGCTTTGCCAAAATGTAGCCTTCATAAAAGTTTGGGGGGCTTGCATTATGTTGTCATCTTGCCCATGAAACAGATTGGTCATTGAAGTCTAAGATCTCCTCAAAGCTGCTGTTCTACATTTTTACCTGCACAGGTAAGACAGGAGCCATGTCTCTCTTTATTAACACAGTTAAGCTCCTTGCCTTGGATGGTTTCCATAATGATGGTCACATTAAGGGCTTATGAGAGCACCCTGTCAAGAGGTGAAGAAATCACTTGGAGTCAGAAAAACAACTTCATGATTAACAGAGTAAAAGAGCAACAGCAATACATCAAAATGAAGGCTATGTGTAGTGATTACCTTTATTAAAGGCTGATCGACTTAGAGACAGTAAAGGCCAAACACTAAAGCTACAAATTAAGGCATTGTGACACCAGTGAGAAAAATGTGATGTCTATTGTGTGTGTTCATGTTCTTTGTCCTAGATACCTCCTTCCAGCCCTGGTGTTCCTGGCAGTCCTCTCTTTTACCACGTGTGCCTCCCTTTATGTTTCCCACCGAGCCTTGAGCATCCATTCCTCGTGGTTTGTGAAGGCTCACAAGGCTGAGCTCTGGCTCATCCGCATTCTGGTATGAGGCTTTTGAGAAGCTGTCCTGTGGGTAAATGGGAAATAAAAACAACCTCTGTGCAGTGCTGGAGGTATCAAAAGTGCAAGATCCAGTGGCAGAACATAGCTAAGGAAAAATTTCTGCCCTGCACAGAAAGGTTCTTAGCAAACCTTCTGGAAAGGCATCTACATCTCTTGGCACAAACTGGGAGTGGGCTCTGTTCTTGGCACTTCCTGAGACACCAGTGTGACATATAGCTGGGCTGGATCTCTGGAGCCCCTCGGGACTGCAAGGCTTCACCTTTTCTCTGTGTTGAGGGACTTTTCCTGCAGCTAGGTCCAGGAGTCTGGCTTAACTGCAGCGGGGCCTAGGGGTCACCAAAGACAAACAGAGTGTGTCACTCCTGTCCCTTGCTGTGCTGTGTGGCAGGTGCAGAACGGGCTGGCCCTGTACCTGACGTGGACCAGCATCGCCACGCTGCTGAACTTCGCCGTCGTGCTCATCTACAAGTGGAACGTGCCCAATGAGAAAGCCACCACTGCTTCCCTGAGCATCCTGGCTCTCAGCCTGGTGATATGGTAAGCAACCCCACGGGTCCCCACCAAGCCTCAGAAACCTCTTCCACCTCTCACCAGTGGTGACCAGCTGTTCCAATTCACTCATCACTTGTCCCTCTCCCAACACCGAGTACAAAGGCCTCTGTTATAGTTCATGGCAGATGAACTGGGAGTCTGGGCAGACCTTTTATCCCTTGATCTCAGCAGTGCCAATAAGTATTGTGGGCCAGGAATGTGTTTTTGTGACTTGCATGAGCCCAGCCTGCCTTAAGTTTACATCTGAAGGTGTGATACAGAAACCATATGAAACGTGGCTTTATTTTTCCCTAAAGTTACCTTAATTAAATAATTTATGAACTTTTTGAATATTAGTAAATGAAAAATTTTGGGCTCTTGTCACAGCTGGCCCACAAAACCCCTCATTCGCTGTCTAATTCTTTTCCTAGAGAATGGAAAACAAAACACAGAGAAAATTATTATTCTGGTCACTCTTTTTCTTCCCAGGTTTTATCTAGAAAACTACTTTCTTGACAAGTACGTCCGCTACAACCTCACAGTGTACCCAGTGGTGATAGCAGCTCTGACTGGTAGTGCGTGCAGGAGCGGCTCGTTCTCATCCACACTGACCAACGACGTTTTTATAGGTGAATCTTCCCAACTCCTGCAAAAGAGGGCCTCTAAACACTTCACATCTGTATTGAGGGCAGAGACTTGCCACTTGAAAAGCATTACTTGTTAAAAGCAGAACGAGGGACATATTTGAAGGTATTTGTTTTGCTAAGGAAAGAGCAGAGCAGAAATCATTGCGCATGAGCCTCGGGGCTGAACCCAAAGCTTGTGTTGTCTCAAGTTCACTTCCCAGTGCAATGTTTGTCCTGCAGTGCTCCATCACCCACTTGGCTGCTCCAGTAGCTCCATCTGAGGAAAGGAAAGGAAAGGAAAGGAAAGGAAAGGAAAGGAAAGGAAAGGAAAGGAAAGGAAAGGAAAGGAAAGGAAAGGAAAGGAAAGGAAA